CGAGTAAATTAATCAAGTGCATAAATTATGTTAATTACACCTTTTTTTGTTGACATCTCATGTGACCCTGCCAGTTAATCACAAGGCATAATCACAGTCACGTTTGGCCGCATTATTCACACATATGCTTGTCTTTATCACAGTTATTTACCACTTAATAATCACGGAAAAACACAAATTTCTTCTTGGGTTATCATGGGTAAAAGTTTGAGACAACCCTGTAGTTCAAAGAAAAACAGCCAGAGGGCCTCAAACCCACATCGTCCGTTAGCAACCCGACAGCACTAAAGATCTGTGATCGCAGCAAGTCCAATACCGGACGTACCAATGTAAACCTAGTAAATTCATTTTGTAAGTCGATTAGTCAATTGCACAATCAAATTCATAGGAATGTGATCAGGATTATGTTTTAATTTATTATTTGTTAGTTTTGGTTTCCATAGATTATTATTTACCAATTACCACCTTGTTTCAACCTCAGTTGACTGTATTTTGAGTTACCACTATAATTTATTCTCATTCTGACCACTCTGGTTGCATTATCAATTTGTTTAATCAAGAGATTTTCGTTGTTAATGTGTTTCATAGTTGACTACATTAACTGATTATTAATTTGATTTCGGACTTACCTTATGTTACTTAATTATGTTACTTTTTTTAATGTCAGTGATCAGTCTGATTCGAACTCAGATTATGTTACTTAATTATGGAAATTATTTTAAATCATTCAATTTATGTTAGTATTGTGTTGAATTCCGTACATTTCTGTTGTTATAATTTTGAATTTTATGTGGACTCCAGGAAGAATAGTGGTCAGTTGAACACTAATGGAGATCTAATAAAAACAAACAAAACAAACCAATGTAATGTTGTACCAGTGAAAGGCACAAGGAGTCCCATTATCAAGTTTGGCCCTGAGCTATACTTTAAAATCACACACAAACGCAACCACGTATGCAAGCATAAACGTGACTTGACTGTCGCTCAAAGGTAATTATTACATGCATGTAAAGGCACAGCGAAGCGCCCAAAGGAATCCCTTAACTTATAATGCTTAGGTCACATTTCCAAACCGGGGCCCGACCGGGCTGTCTGTATGAACGAAAAATTAACAATCCATATGAAGAGTATATACTAGATATAGTGCCCATGATTATCATCGAAAACGTTTGTGTGTTTTGTTGACTTTTATATCGTACTTTTCGTTCCCAAAAGCTGCCCGGCCAGGCCCCGGTTTGGAAATGTGACCTCAGCATAAGATCGGGGGACTTATAATACTGTGCCCCAAACATGCACGGCCGTGGCTTACACAATATAAAATGGAAACGGCGGTTTTGACGTAAAATATTACAGAGCAAGAAAATGAACAGGGGGATGGACACCTCGCAAAGCACGACGGGTAATTTTTTCCGGTCTGAACCAGGGGGGGGGAGTTGATACTAAGAAGTTGTACATAAGTTGCAAAAGTCAGATAGCCTCATACACTACTTGAGTCCTTTGATAATTCAAAGAACCAAAAATTACTGGTCAAATTGTTGCCAATCGCTGCACTTTTAAAGGAAACATGACAAGACTATATGCCTGGTGCTGACAGTCAGAAATCTGGGACACGTGTTGTGGAATGTGTATTGCAAAGGATGATGGGATAGTATCTTCTCCCCCCCCCCCCCCTGGGTCTGAACCGCAGCGGGCTCATTTGAGCACTGCAGTGGAATAACAATCATTTGGCAGCGGAGATTACTATGGCAACAGCTCTTATAGAAACTAGCAGATGTTAGTAGCCGATTCGACAATACTTTAAATAAAATAACCTATTTTTCAAACGTTTCTTCCCCAAACTTTAACTGGCTATTCCACCGTTGAATACTACACAAATTAAGATATTTGATGGAAACCTTTCAAATGAGCCATTTGCCGTCGTGGATTTTATGGAATTGAAAATTGGGACACTCCATACAGACCCTTTAGAAATCCTATGTTAATGATATGCAGCGGTAAATTATGACAGTCTCTGGACCTGTATGGGCAAACACCACAGCAGCAACTCAGTCGTAGGATCGTAATATTAGCTTAATGCCAGCAGAAACGGACACAAGAGGTAAAAAGAACATATGTTTATGTCATAATTCTCTAGCAGAGCGTGTCAAAATGAGCAAATCAGGGCCACTGTCAGACCAGATCGACACTTCTGGTCACACCAGCAAATATGGCGGAAGGGACGGAGTCAGCGCCCTCCCGAGTCCAGTACAAGGAACCTACACTATAATAATTATTCCTATGATATGATGTCAATGTTGTTGCTCACATCACGGTTTGATGGAATGATCATTATGTGTCAAAAATGACTAAGGTTTTATCAGGGAAGTGATTGGATGAGTGCACAATAAAAGTACGTAATGTATGATTTTCTCCGATCTGCAGATTGATAACCGTTAACGTTACGGTCATTTTTTGTAATGTCGTAATACAAGTTACAAAATCTCTGCGGCTTTATCTAATCTACCTAGGCTTCTGTGGAAGATGTAAAAACCTTTCTGCAAACCGGTAAACCGCCAGATTTCGGTGACGTGACGGTGAAGACCAGGAAGTCTAGAGTACATACGCTGCAAACGTTTGCCAAGAAGTCTGTCTACGAAAGTAAGTGCTCAACCAATAACATAAAAATTGCAAATTGTTATGTAAGCCTATTTATTTATTGGTTTGGCTGTATGTAAGCCTATAAGTCGAATTACATGTAAGTGTATGTATGTATGTTAACAGACTAATGTGGCTGGTTGGTAAAAGATGATTTTTAAACCTGATAAAAATGATTTTCAAACGTTTTTAAAATAAAGATGAATTTAAATTACAAATAGGAAGAAAAGGAGTTTTTAAACTCTCAACTGGTGCCAAAACATGAGCACTATGAACCAGATTTTTGGCGAATAAAAAAAACTGAAGTGGGCAATTTAGAGAAGCAACAATTTACATTGGTTTGGCATTAGCTGTCTTACATATAACCCATTTTCTCATTTTGGCTACAGGCGATGGAATACCGCATCATGGTGCTCCTCCCAGAAGCGCTGGCTGCCATTTACCACATAAAGAAAGGCACAGCCACGATGGAGGAGGCCAGGGATTATATCTGGAAGGCGGGGTGTCGGGAAGACCTGTAAAGACCAATGATGTTAAAACACAACGTTAACAGTTCCTGAAAATAGTAATTTGGGATACAGTAGGTATTATTCAAGGAACAAAGATGTTTGGACAAAAACTACATTTGTCTGATGTTACGGAACATTGAATCATGCAAACTATCTTTTTGGTTATTAATTTCTGCCATCAATTAATCCAGTTAGATACCACCTCTGTAATGTATAGCAATTTCTATACATTGTTGGGGAAGACCACAGTTTCTAAGATTAAGTATGGTACGAATCGTATTGACCGTCTGGATGTTTAAATTTGAACGCTCATGAAGAAATTTATTTCAAACAATCCAATCACATCTTTACTTACAAGTTACAATGCTATGGTAGTGAATTTTCATGTTTCAAGTTTGAAAGTACATGTACAAGCTGTAGATAGTGGAAAAAACAAAGCAGTGTACAAAAAGAGATATTGAAGTCCTAACAGTGACATTAGTAAAGATAATACTCGTTTATGCAAGAAAAGGTCACATTTACAATCTTTCGTTCTAGCTCCAAGCAAGAAAAAATCAACTAAACCTACTAGTAGCGTTAATTAAAGAAATACACCTTCATATCGTGCAAAATGTTGTTTGTAAGGATCAATAAAATTTTGTAACAGAAAGAGTGAAGTGTTTCATTTTTGTAAGTTTTTTATGATATAGACATCTGGATACATTCTGACAGGTAACCCATAAGGGCAGAATACTCTTCATGCTGAATAGATTTAGAGATTATAAAGAACAATGTCATGTTAGACCTATGATCCTTATTAATTATTCTTCTTGAGTCACACAAAGTAAAAAAAAAGTTGAGAATAGCCTACGAAGAATTCTTGGTCCAGTGCGCTAGGAAAAGAAAATAGAACACAACAAATTCGTACTTAATATAATAAATCATTTCCCTTTTAATAGGGGTTGAAAAATGATTACGTTTGTACAGTATCTGAGCTGCAAATGCACTGCTTACAAAATATGAACTGTATGTCAGACCGAATTAGGCGCTATGTTCTCTAAGGTTAAAGGTCAGCGGTAACCTCGCTCAACGATTTAGATTTAGGCGCTTGAAAATGCCGACCAACACTTTGTCTTCTGTGAAATTGTCTGTCCATAATTTAGATTTTAATTGATCAGACTAAAATATTTTGAAGTAATCATTGAATTTAACGTTAGTGTACAATAGCCGAGCAAAATGTATTCAGCATATTCGAAACCCCCACGCGTACCGTATGGCTTAGACATTTGGCACCGCTCATGAATTTGGCGTGGATACCAAGCCAAATAATTGATGGCGCATGGATTTGGCAATCGCAAGGATTTGGCTTGACACCGGCCCGTTCTGTCGTAACGCACTCTTTTATTAGCGCCACTGCGGAGGTCATGGAACTGCAGCCAACGAACAGTACTATCCTTACTGCGCTCTCATTGGATAATACTTAATGAAGTTATATTAACCCCATTATAAAAATCTGGCCGCATCACACCGTGCTGTGCATTCAGAGAACTCCCCCGCACGCTACGGAGGTCGAGGGACGGCGCTCAGCGGCGGACAGACAGCACGAGGCCACGAGGCACCGCACCAAGCGTCGAGCTCAGGCGCCAAGGCGCACAAGACATCGAGGATAAGGTTGGAGGGTCGTGGGGTCGTGCTAAGACCGCATTTACAGTTTGTTAGTCAACCTTCAGCACCGGTGACGCTTGGTGCATGTCTGTTTTGATTATTTTAGACGGCTTTCGTTTGTAGGATTTTTCTGGCGCCGTTTTAGGTCTAGTTTGTCGGCAAGTTTCGTGTCCTTTTCTCTAGTGCATTTGAATACCGGTGTATTGGGGTGTTTGTGTCGTGTGGGGTGGAGAATTTGGTAGCACAGGTTATTCAGAGGGAGGAAAGCTCGGGTGGAGTCTCCGTGCATTGCGTCCCATGTTAGGAGTCGTTCTTTCCGCATGGAGGAGGCTTGCCCGGGTTGGGCTTTGACGGTGGTGAGTTCTTAGCTAACAGTGATTGTTCATTGATTGCGTCGCTACAGAATGGCAGAGCGGCAGAACCCAGTCAGGCCACAGGGCAGAGGTGCTAGGGACGTACCACAGCGTGACGGACAACCCGGGCAGGCCCAGGTGCAGGACGTGGGGCAGGTGGACCAGGAACGCCAGCCAGCCGGCGGGGAGCAAGGCCAGGACGCCGTGCAACAGGAGAATCCACCACCTCCCCCAGAGAATCCAGAACAACAAGAGCAGGAACAAGTACAGGAAGGACATCCAGTTCGCGCAGGGGCGCAGGCAAGGCAGGAGCCGGCGGCAGGAGCCCAGCCGCAGGCCAATCAGCAGGTAAATTGGATTTTTGGTACGAGTAAACGTTGGCCTTTTGGCGGTGTGGTGACAGTTTCTCGTTTTTTTTAGGGTAACACTCGTTTCCTTTTTATCGTAAGGTCGTGTGGTTACATAGCTTTGTTTATTTGATGCTTTTGTCTTGCTTGCATGGGGTTTATCGCTTTGTGTCATTTATTGGTAGGAGTTTTCGGCTGTTTGTTATTTGTTTTTCATAGTGAGGGAAGTTTTGTTTTTCATACCGCGTTCCGTTTGTATGGATATGTAAATTGGACGACATAGTCGTAACAGCTTTTGTTTGTCGGTGTCTGTCTAGACATACACCTGGTTTTGATTTTTGCATTTTTGTGAGCATTGTTCGATTCTATTAATCGTTGTTATGCAAATAGAGCGTATGCGTGTACGGGCTGCCGGGGCTGCACCACGTGTTGTCTTTTGTCACAAGTTATGTGGAGACAAACGGGGTTGGTTACCGGGCGTGCACGGTAGCAAATTTCCTGTATGCACGGGCATCCGGGGCTGCACCTCGTGTTGTCTTTTGCCACAAGTTATGTGGAGACAAGCGAGGGGTAGCTATCGGGTGTGCATAGCAGTAAATATCCTGTGTGTACGGGCATCCGGGGCTGCACCTCGTGCTGTCTTTTGCCACAAGCTATGTGGAGACAGACGGGGTGTAGCTACCGGGCGTGCATAGCAGCAAATATCCTGTGTGTACGGGCATCCGGGGCTGCACCTCGTGCTGTCTTTTGCCACAAGCTATGTGGAGACAGACGAGGGGTAGCTACCGGGCGTGCATAGCAGCAAATATCCTGTGTGTACGGGCATCCGAGGCTGCACCTCGTGCTGTCTTTTGCCACAAGCTATGTGGAGACAGACGGGGTGTAGCTACCGGGCGTGAATAGCAGAAAATATCCTGTGTGTACGGGCATCCGGGGCTGCACCTCGTGCTGTCTTTTGCCACAAGCTATGTGGAGACAGACAGGGGTAGCTACCGGGCGTGCATAGCGGAAAAGATCGTGTGTGTACGGGCTACTAATTGCGAAGACAGAAGTGCTTTCATGCGAAGGCTAATACTCATGTGTTCTCTGCTTACAGGGGTTGGCAGACCTGCGCACAGAGTTCGCCGCCTTAAGGCAGGAGATCAACCGACTTCGCGGAACGTCAGTGGATGGGATCAAGGACGAGCTTATCCAACACGCCAGTCGGCCTAAAGCAGCCTTTGACGCAAAGAAGGCAATGGGTCTAATGGAAACGCTTTCTCGGCAGGCCACACAGTCCAACCACCCGAAGGCCGAAGAGTATAAAGCTATTCTACAGCAGCTCAGGCCTCTGGAAGAGAAAGAATATTTTAAGGACATCATCCTTGATTTGTTTGGTTCTCAAGTGGTGAAACAAGTCAATAAGTCCATAGCAGGTTTTGTTAAAAGTCATGCAGCTATCCACCACGCAGAGAAGGGAGCTAGCGGTTCCGGTCAGACCTTGCAAACTATTCGTCAGACTGGGAATAGGTACACCCCTTATAGATACAGGTCGGCAGGCAGGGGTAGGGGGCCGCGGCCGGAAGACAAGTGTAACAACTGTAACGAAAAGGGTCATTGGGATAGAGATTGTCCACTACCACATAAAGACAAAAAGTAGTAAACATTTGTGAGGATGTTATTTATTTAAATGCCTTGAAGGTGGCCAGGGAGAGAAAGAGACTGATTTAACTATGTAATGACGTAACAAATCTGTGGGCAAGTATAACAATGTAGCCCAAATTGTAACAGTGCTGTCTTTTCAGAAATGCTTGTAAATGCACTGTATTTTGGTTAGATTTGGTGCGACCTGTGACTGGAATTGTCTCTGAGATGTAAACAGTACTGTGTATTCAGAAATGCCTGCAATTGTAGTGTATTATGGTTAGATTTGGTGCGACTTGGACTGGAACTGCATTTGACATGTCAACAGTACTGTGTATTCAGAAAGGCCGACAATTGTAGTGTATTATGGTTAGATTTGGTGCGACTTGGACTGGAACTGCATTTGAGATGTCAACAGTACTGTGTATTCGGAAAGGCCGGCAATTGTAGTGTATTATGGTTAGATTTGGTGCGACTCGCATTACAATTGACTGAGATGTCAACAGTGCTGTGTATTCAGAAAGGCCTGCAATTGTAGTGTATTATGGTTAGATTTGGTGCGACTCGCATTACAATTGACTGAGATGTCAACAGTACTGTGTATTCAGAAAGGCCTGCAATTGTAGTGTATTATGGTTAGATTTGGTGCGACTCGCATTACAATTGACTAAGATGTCAACAGTACTGTGTATTCAGAAAGGCCTGCAAATGTATTGTATTATGGTTAGATTTGGTGTAACTTGGACTGGAATTGACTGAGATGTAAACAGTGCTGTGTATTCAGAAATGCCTGCAATTGTAGTGTATTATGGTTAGATTTGGTGCGACTTGGACTGGAATTGACTCTGAGATTAAACGTCATGCAAAGCATTACATTGGTGTCTTCCATTTCATTTTGATCCGAAGTAAAAGGGTCCAAAAAACACAAGTAAGCTCATGTCTTTGTATTTTGTGAGGAAAAATGGTGCACGCCTGATATCAAGGACTTCGAGCATCTACACCAATTTGACCCGTACTCTACTTATCAGACACACTTAATAAATAAGATACGGTGGATTACTAGAAACCGAGACAGTAGAGCCATCGTTCCTCCCTCAGTAGAAGCGGTCTCTGCAGGTAGAATAAAAGCGTCGGCGGACTCGCTACTCTTTAGGGACCCAACCACTTTCCGGGCAGGGGAGATCTATCAGCACGCAAGGGAATGGAAGAAAATACTGGGGAATGGAGATCATTCCGCCATGATGGGTAGAAAATGGGGTGTCCATGTTAGACTTCATCCGGCTGTTCACAAGAACATTTAAAGGGGTATCATATCGAAACAGCGATAGAGCAGCGGGCGCGAGTCGTCCTGGTGGTCCCCGACTTGTTCCCCCACAAATATTGGTGGGCGGTGATCCAACAGAGAGCCAGTAAGGTAGTAAGGGTCGCATGCGCGGGTCAACCCATCCTCTACTTCCCGTTCCGAAAGGGAGGATGGAGGCTTCAACCAACCAACAGGG